AATCATTTAATTCAATTTCATCACAATATGCTAATTTGAATTTTTCCAATTTTGTCTGAAACAAAAACAGATTTGATTGAGTATGTTCCTTAGCTTCATCAGTACCACTTGCTTTAGTGAATGTCATGTGAATTTCTACAAGGAACTATCATTATTATGATCAGATAATTTTTCATCTTCGTGTTCATCATCGATTATTTGAGAATTATCTGATAAAATTGACATCGTACTTCTTCGTCTTACACAATAAAGAACGAAGTTACTATTGATAACATATATATTGCGACACTTTTTCAATAACCTTGAGTGAAAATTAATTTTTTTTTCAACTAAAATATATATGCCAATGTTGATATTGAACGAATATTTATAGAAATGAATATGAAAAATAGCAATAAAAAAAAATGTTAACTAGACTATTTATGAGGTCAATGTTATGTACATATCTTTTATTAATCTCTTTTCTATTTTATTTCATTAACTTTTTGTCGTGCTCCATAGACCGAAAAGTGGATAATTATAAAACATAGTTCCTCTAATGGTTATAAATATTAATTTCAGTTATAATCCATACAATAGTTTTATGTAATAGAGTGAGATTCTTTTTTTTATCTAGAATAAAATTAAAATCTACATCGAATTCTACAATTTTCTGTTACATCTCGAACAAGATGGTTTATAAAAAAAATACTATCTTTTTTTCTTATGAAGTATTTTTAAAATTAAACATTGATATTCATTTCCACATTGTACGCATCAGAAAAAAAAACATTCAACAAATTTTCATTTCACATATAAGAGAATTAAAATTTCAAATAATACATTTATATTTGGTATCTTTTTTTTCCTTTCCTTTCGTTCAATCATCACTTGTTTGACTGCATATTGAGCGCACGACATATAAATTGTTCTCATACATTCGAGATAAAAAAACTTAAGCGAAATGAACAAGAAATATTTAAAGACGAAAAAGATATCGTGCACTCAATGTCTTCACGTACGTGTAAAACACCGGTTGTTTTCATACGCTGTGTAATTTCAATTCCGTTACGTCGACGTCGTCTTTCATTCGCGTCTTTCCGTTTTTATACCTTTTTCATCTTTTCTCTTCTGCTTCTTCTCGTTCTTCGTAACAGAAGAACAAAAATTTATAAACAAACGGAGCTTTCGGGGGGTGGCTCTAAAACAAAATGAACCTTCCCAGGGATATCCGACATTCTGTTGGTAACCCGTACAGACGTGCATATGGTAGGCCTTCATAACATATATTTAATGTATATATGACAAGCAGCTTCTATCTTGTCATCGTCTTTTCGAAGACGTTGACTATGGAGGTACTAGTCATACATACATTAAATGTATGTTTGCCTAACCATTGCCGGCTCTGTCCACTGTATGAGCCAACAGAATACGGAGGGTATCCCTGATCGCGCGTGCGCGAAATTTTATAGCTGCTCGCTTCGGTGAGCCTTATGTTCATGAATAGCCAATTTATTTTCTCTTTTTAAAAGAAAAAAAAATTACATTTTCCTTTTCACAATTTCAATGTTTCTTTTCACAAATGCAATATGTGGATGATTTGAAGGTAGTGATTTTTTCCAGATGTCTTGCGCCTTTTCATAATATGAAAGTGCTTTGGAGCGCTCGCCCATTTTACAATACACTACCCCGATGTTGTTGTAGGAAGAAGCTAAGTCGGGATGGTTTGGAGGGAGAGCTTTCAGACTGATCTCCAGGTCTTTTTCGTAGTATGTAAGTGCTTTGGAGTACTCGCCCATGCTATCATACACGGCACCGATGTTGTTGTAGGAATTACCCAAGTCGGGATGATTCGGAGGGAGAGCTATTTTTTTAATTTCAAGTGACTGTTCGTACGATGAAAGTGCTTTAGAATACTCGCCCATGTGAGAATACACATTACCGATGTTGTTGTAGGATTGAGCGAAGTTGGGATGATTCGAAGGGAGAGCTTTCAGACTGATCTCTAGGTCTTTTTCGTAATATGAAAGTGCTTTCAAGTACTCGCCCATGTTCTCATACACCAAACCGATGTTGTTGTAGGAAGCCGCCAATTGGAGATGATTCGGAGAGAGAGCTATTTTTTGGATTTCAAATGATCGTTCAAACGATGAAAGTGCTTTCGAGTACTCCCCCATCCTATTATACACTCCACCGATGTCCCTGTAGGAAACAGCCAAATCAGGATGATTCGGAGGGAGAGCTATTTTTCGGATTTGAAGTGATCGTTCAAACGATGAAAGTGCTTTCGAGTAATCGCCCATGTTATAATACACCATACCGATGTTGTTGTAGGAGTGAGCCAAGTGGGGATGATTCGGAGGAAGAGCTATTTTTCGGATTTCAAGTGATCGTTCGTACGATGAAAGTGCTTTCGGATACTCGCCCATGTTATCATACACTGAAGCGATGTTGTTGTAGGACATAGCCAAGTCGGAATGATTTGGAGGGAGAGCTATTTTTCGGATTTCAAGTGATCGTTCAAATGATGAAAGTGTTTTCGAGTACTCGCCCCTCATTCTATACACTTCTCCGATGTTGTTGTAGGAACTAGCCAAATTGGGATGATTCGGAGGGAGAGCTATTTTGTTGATTTCAAGTGATCGTTCGTACGATGAAAGTGCTTTGGAGTGTTCGCCCATGTTAGTATATACCGTACCAAGTTGGTGATAGTATTCTACACGATCGTAATCGGATGACGCCTTGTCGAGTAAAATTGTATACAAATGTTCTGCTTTTGCGGGATCACCCAGTTCAATCAGTATCCTTCCTAGTCGATTCCATCCTGTTGTCCACTTGTGGTCTGCACGTAAATGTTTGGTAAGTGTATTAAGTTCATTATCATCGTCATCCGTAAGAGTGAGGTTAACTTGCCACAGCCGATCTGTGTCATTTTCCTCGATGCGCTTCATTTGATTGACGCGAAAGATCGTATGTGTCGTAAAAAGTACTTCTTCTTCTTTATTGTCGTAGTAACCGACACCTTTCACGTCAACATAGGGAATTTTTGATTGTACACATACCATTGGATCAATATTCATAACGAAGAGTATGGCGACAGAATTAGTATTGTAGAGTGATAGACGTGCAAAGCCAAGTGAAATGTCTCGTTGACGACTGGTTGAAATAAAGTTATTGAAGGACATAAGTCCTCCTTTTGTCTGTTTCATTTTGTCGAAGTCTTCCATGGACAAACCTTGTCCACGGAAGACTGTGAATGGTCTGTTGGTGGGCTCATTGGATTGTTGTTCGCCATGTAATTTTTCAATATGTTTGTGTAAATGACGAATAAAAAAACCCATTCTCATTATAATATCGACATTCATAAGTCGAAGGCCATGATTGAGCATAGAATAAATAAAGAAGGGACCTGTATACCACCAACTTGGTGGATGATGATGATATTCTCGTTCGAGCATTTCCAGTGTAGTTGGAGAAGCAGCATTGTGAAGACGACAATAATCAACCAGTTCTTTAATAGATGTCGCATCATCATCTTCGATTTCCAAAAATGCTTCTTTAAGCAATTGTGTGTACATAAACAAAGGATCGATGCCACGAAAACTCATCGAGATCATAGATCGATCACAATGTTTATGGTCGATTTCTAATGCTTTACAAATCGGTTCAATTTGTGTGCAAATACCTTTTATCTTAGGTATTTTTCTTGCCCATTGCTCATGAATTGATTGATTATCACAAAAAACATATACGGAGTCCAGTTGTGGACATGCTTGAATCTCTGGTATTACATGTTGTCCCAGTGAGCCAGATACGATCATCAACACTTTTTCATCTTTAATGTCACTAAGATAATCAACACATTGATCAGCATCTGTAAATATTATAATTGTTGCTATGACATTTCGAAGCTGTTGCATTGACTGTTTATAATCATTTTTCGATTCATCCAAATCGGCATCAAGCCAGATCAAAAGGCAATTTTCCAGAATCGGACGCATACGTTCGGGCAATACAGCACTACTGTTGATAGTGGCCATCGCTGTTCGCCCACTAGCAGGAGTTTTTGAGGATTTCTCTGTATTTATAATCGATATGTATATGCATCAATGAATGAACGCAAAAGTGAAACGTCGCCTTCCTGTGTTTTTATAATTGTCTATTCTCTTACTTCGATACTTTTTTTTCTGGCTTGTTGCTATAGACTTCAAGGGCTTGAGATCTTGATCGTTCGTTTTTTTTCAAGAGTATTCTTGACGAAATGACGACGACGAATAGGCCAAACCTCTGTGCCTTAAGCAAGTAGCAAGGAAGAACAAGAACGAAAAGAGTAAACAAGAAATGCATTAGAGTCATTCATAGAAAAGAAAAAATGAAAACTTATAAATAGAATTTTAATAATGTTGTTCTCTGTTTGTCTTTTGTTGTTTGTTTAGTTGTCAAGTTTTTTTTCCAACATTGCATTAAGTAAGGTATTATGTGTGTGTGCATGTGCATCTAGACATGTAGAAAGAGAAGAACGATAAGAAGACCAAACGAAAAAAACACGTGTTTTGTTCGTTTGATTCGTTGCAATCAAACAAAATTCAAAACCGAACTACACAATAAAAAAAATTCATTGACTATTTTTTACTAATTTTATCGTTGAATCCCATCATCGGGCATGGATTTTCTCTTCATGTACATATTTCTCACCCACACCCATCCAACCTCAAAAAAATGATAATAATTTTCTTTGGTTTTTTAAAGAAATTTGAATTGTGGTTCATTTAAAGCAGGTATTATTGAAGTTGTTTTATGTTCGAGTGATTTTTCATGTTAAGTTCTTGCTCGTGAAGGATCACGTGGTACAATTTATCTAATTAATTTTTCTCAATCGGTAATGGAACATGAAAGTCGATTTGATAGTAAATGAATACAAAATTAATTCGATTAAATTAAATTTTTTTAAAGATCAAATTGGAAATTCTTGTTGGTTTCTTATAGATGTATAATAAAAGGTAGATAAGAGCAAATAAATAATGGCAATAACAATGATTACTTCAACTCCTAGGAAAGATAAGAAAATAAATTCGTCAGCAAATAAACACAATCGAGTATGTGTTTCTGGTACACTTAAAGTAAATAATTAAGTAATTATTGAAAATTATTTTATTTATATTCTATTTTTAGCATAATCCAAAATATGAATTAAAAAAAGATGAACTTAGACAATTAGTATGAGGTTTTGAAGCTGAACTTCAAGCTAAAGACATTGTATTGGCTATATTGAAGGTAAAATATTCAATTAGAAGAATTCTTTCTTTTTTACAAATAAAATTACAAATTAATTTATGATATATATATTTTAGTTCGAAAAAGTAAAAACACTTTTATCAAATGCTCAATTTGGTGGTCTTAGCTGTTAAACTTATTCATATGTATTATTACTTCGTGATAGTGGACATGTTAAAGAAGATATACTCAACGAACAAATACCAATGAATAATATATATGAAATACAACTGTTCAACTTGAAGAAGTTATTATTCAACAAAGAAAACAAGTGAAAACATTAAAAATTTGCACTTGATAATACTGAACATAAATTTACTTTAGTAAATAAAATATTAACGTTTAAAAAGATTTATATTTTAATGATGGTAGACAACACGAAGCAAATTTTAAAGGATTAGTATTAGAAAATAAACGTAATAAATAAGTTTTAACAAAACATATTACACAATTACAAGGTGAAAGTCATTTATTAGTTAAAGAAAAAAAACAACAATCCGCAACAAATAGTAATTATTTATATCTTTTCCTTTTTTTATATATTATACTGGTATTAATATTTAGATGTTTTATCACCAGATGGAGAAGTGACTGAAACAATTTCTAAATCTCAATCTGAATCAGGTCAATTACCATGAACAGTTTTTCAGGTAGCACTTCCAACAAATGATTCATCACCATGGTCATCTAATTTTGAAAAATCATCTATATTAACAAGAGGTTATATTCGCCATCCAACTATTATTCCAATGACATCATGATCCAAAAATAGTAATAATCCAATAACCAAAACAGGAGTTGTTCCCCCATCAATTCTAACACGTGCACAACAAACCAAACATCATCTATTCTTGAATTACCTTTATCGTCGGTACCTACTGTTGAGAAACGTAATGTTATACTTGGTCAATATCAAATGTTTGTTAATCTTCAATCACGTCACATCTTCATTCATCACGAAGGAATAGTCAAACATCAATATCATCTATTCGATTGGTTCATTAACAACAAGAAATAATGTTACACGTGGTGTTGATGGTATCCCACGTTTAACAAAAACTTCACATCAAATTGTTAAACCGACAACAATAACTAGCCCTACAAAACGATCTGATCGGTAAATCAATGCTTTTTTTTCTATTTATCTAATAAAGAAAAGAAAACGATAGTTAGATAATTCAATAAATGGCTTCGTATTTTTTCTTTTATTATTTATTTCGAGACAAAAACAAATTAGTCTTGCGTTTCTGTATTCTTTCCTCTCAATCTTGTAGACAAGCTTTTGTCAGAACACAAAATTGATGATCTATGAACTCTTTCGTTCATCTATGCTTTTTGTATTTGTGTGAATATTTATCATTGAAATTCTTCTTGTGCTTCTTTTATACATATACTAATAATGTTAATCATATATCCTTGATTAAACTTTTCTTTGTTTTATTTTTATTATTCATATTTTAGTTACTGAAAATTGTTATATATCTTTAACAAACGTTGCCAATTCATCATACTACACAGACAAAAGCGATTTAAATTCTGTCATCATTATTAACTTCACATTTCAATTTTATCCTTTGTGGAGTTGCTGAAAATGGAGATATAGGTAGCAAATCAATTATTTTTTTTTTAATTTTATAGATAAATTTTAAAAAAAACTTCCTGTAGAATAATTATTGAAGTTTTTTAAACTTAGATCTAATCCAAATAATTAAGTGATTGATGAAAATATATGTCTTCATCTATCTGCATCTAATGATCAGATCGAGTAAAATCTTTTGAATAAATTAAACATGATATATAATCTTTTCTGATTTAGATGTATTCGTCATTTACTTAAATTTAGTGCTAATTCATTACTTGGAAATAATCTTTGTTTAACAGCATGGTATAATTTATCGAAATTAAATGAAACAATTGAACTTGAATATTTACAAATATTTGTTAATATCAATCAAATTCTGGTAAAGAGTTTCATATGATCATAATAATTAATTATTATTTTTTATATATTTTAACCACCTATAGATCTAATTTTCAATACTATTGTACATAATCATATTTATACTTATAGTATATCTTTTAGAAAACATTTTATTTGTACATCAAATAACATTCAATAAAAGAGAATAATAATCAATTAACAAATGATCTTTGATAAATAAAACATTTATTTATTATTCTATTTCATAAAAATCTTTTG